AGAGAGAGAGAGAGAGAGGGAGAGAGAGAGAGATTGGGCAATCTGCAACGCGCCTTTGCTTGGGTTTGTTTTGGGGGATTTTTGAAAAGTTTTTTTTAGTTCCTGATCTTCTCAGGTGTGACGTCGCCGCTTGGCACAATATAAAGGTAGTGGCCACAGGTGAAGAAAGCAGTCACCAGACAACTTTGGAAGGATACAACATCCGGGTACTTTGTGCAGTGTGGGGGTCTACGTGTGTTGCTCTGTTGACATTAATAAAATATGGCTGATAAAGGTAAGACTGATATCTTACGAAAGGCAATACGTACTCTTTTGTTAGGAGTAAAATAGGTTGTCAACACAACGACAACAACAAAGAAACAACAGTAGCAACAACGACAACAACAGAAACAGCAACAACAACAACAGCAACAGCAACAGCAACAGCAGCAACAACAGTAGTAACATCACTTAACAACAAAACAATAACAACAACTGCAAATCATCATTATCATCATCGTATAATGATAATAATAATTATCATAATAATCATAATACGATAATAATGATGCAGATTACTTCTACAGCGCCCACTTCCTCACAATCCAACTCTAGGCGTTTTACAATACGCACGTCGATCTTAACACAAAATAGTACTGAATGAACGTGCACACTTACGCTCTTTACTTTGACGCTACAAACACATACAGACATCCATGCATTCACAGCATAGTTGATGACGACATGCACTTTACATTAGAAACATAAGAGTTCTATAACTAAAAAGGATTACCTATGAAAATGACATTTTATAAGGTATGTCTCAAAATGGTGTTGGGGTCTTTTTTCCTATCCTAGGTTCTCACATTTGAGACTGATCTCCCTATCTTAGAGAACATGGTGAGACTTTCACTTGGATCCGGTTACTTAAGCACGAGGGGGGCTTTATTGTTAATCAGTCTCATGCATAATTTTAGCTGTTGCTACAAACAATAAAGTGTTCGTGAAATAATGATGATAATAATAATAATTACCTACCAAAGTACTCATCTACGTACCTACCGTACTTATTATTTTCTTACTTCCTTACCTACCTACCTACCTACCTACCTACCTACCTACCTACCTACCTACCTACCTACCTACCTACCTACATACCTACCCACCTACCTACCTACCTACCTACCTACCTACCTACCTACCTGCCTACCTACCTACCTACCTACCTACCCACCTACCTACCTACTTACCTACCAACTTACTACCTTATTTCTTACACAACTATATACTAACCTATTAATGTGTTTTTTTCCATTCTCCAATTCACTTACTTACCAGCCTACCTAGCTACCTACCTATCTACCTGCCTACCAACCTACCCACCAACCTACCAACCTATCTACCCGCCTGCCTACCTTTTTACCTACCAACCTACCTACCTACTCATCGACAGACCGACTGATCTATCTTACTATATCGCACCCCGCCCCACTCCACCCTACTCTACCCCACCCTACCCCACCCCACCAAACCCTATCCTACATTACCCTATCCTACCCCAACCCACCCCAGCCCACCCCACTCTACCCCATCTTACCCCCCCCTCCCCAGTGGCAGATCCAGATGGAGG